TCTACAACGTACTCGGCCACAAACATGGCGAATCGATTGACACCTTAAAATAATTTTTTACCAATTATAAAATCGTTTTTGTTAAAAATAATGATGACATGGAGCACTATACGATTGAATGGTGCACAGGCGCAGAACTGGACAAGAAATAGTCTTACGCGCGCGGTTAATTATAGAGGAAGCGAGGTACACTGATAGCAAAGTTGTACCCACGGGAATTTGCTTAAGTGTAAAGGCGACTTGTTTCGCGCATGCTCATATACGTAATTTATAAATATAGATTACTTAATGGTTAGCGAGTGCGTAGAAGTGCACACAGCGAGTGCATAATAAAAATCGTACAAACGAGCCAACCATGAAGTAATTTGTTTATTAAATGTGTATACAGTAGAGATCAATTTGACACTAACGGCACTCTTTCCACATACAAAAACACTGCGAGCAACTTTATATGTGTATAGAGATTTATGCACAGCAGAATGATGCAATAAAAATCGTATTTCACTGGGTAAATTTACTTCATGCAATTTGATTGGACGTACGATGTTTTTAACGTGTGAAAAAATGCCATACCTGGCTTTTGATTCAAGCTAAATTACACAATTTCGATTTTTGTTGTCGCTGTGTTTTTGTATTATATTAAAAGTGTTTCGTCGACAAATTGCTCACTATACACATTTAATAAACAAATTACTTCATGGTTGGTTCGCTTGTACTCACCAACCTTGAAGTAATCTATATATATGCAGTATTTTATTGGGGAATCCGCCATAGTTAAACGCGAATAAAACACAATTGCGATTATTCATGATAATAACACATGTGCGATTAAGATCCAACAATCAGAAATAGTCTACGCGCCCTGGGGGTTAAGAACTTTTCCAAAAAACATTTTTTTTCATTAAGCAAAAATACATGGATGCTTGATTTTTTTCGAGTGTTAGGCTCATTGTTTGGTCAGTGCGTGCGTTTATTTGTGAACAAAACACTCACAACAGTATCTAGCCCTTAATTAATATACAATCTTCGTGCATTGGCCTAAATCTGCTTGCGCGATTGGTCAAAATGAATCACGTGGTTTCTTGTGCCTGGCGACAGATCATGGCAATCATAATTTATTCGCAATATAACCAGGAAGCAGGAAAATCATTTGCCAATATAACCTTTATATATATATATATATATATATATATATATATATATATATATTAATATATATATATATAAAAAGGTTGCTTGTCGACTAGAGAGATATTATTCGAACATAACCACTGCTTTGTATTTTTTAATATCACTTTATTCACAAACGTTTTCGCTCTCTTAGCTCTTCAGGTGATAAATGATGACAGTGGTTATTTTGTTTACTTACATATTGTAATATGATACATCCTATTTAGTGTGAGTATGTTAAAGTAGTGTTATTTACAAAGATAAAAATTAGCATGCATTAAGATTAGGTTCTAGTGTTCTAATTATTTGTTTCTCTTTGGCCTCTCTTATTAGTCTATTAGCGTTGATACACTTATATATTGGCATAATGTTAAAGTTGCCTTTGCTACATTTATAAATGTAGATAGGTGTTCACTGACGGTTAAATGTCTTCGCGTCTAATATGCTGCTTATGCAAAGTTACTCTGTTTCTAAGGTTTCAGTCGTTCCCACGTAGAAACTGTTGCAATATATATATATATTATATAATATATTATATATATTATATATATATATATATATATATATATATATATATATATATATATATATATATATATATAGGCTTGCCGGGAGAATATCACATTGCGAACCAGTATCTATTTGAAATTGAACCGTGTTTTCCGCCTCTGGCTTCGAAATTTTCAAATTAGTCACAGCTTTGCGTGCTTTATACTCGTCACCGTCCGAAATAGAACTGATACAGTAAAGATCTTCTTCAGTTTTTTGATCGACTTCCGGAGTTTGGTTGATTTGTGTTACTTTGCGCTTTCGTCGACATTTCCGTGCAAAATGGTTCATCTTTTCACAATTAAAACACTTTCTTCCCAACGCTGGTCAATTTCGTTCGTCTTGAGTCATACCACAATTTCCATAGTCCTTAAGCAATCCTTCCTGTTGGCAGTTTCGCATTGGATATCTTGGCAGTTTTGTCTTCCGGGTTTGTTTACTTTCTAAACCAGTATCTTTTTCTTTTGTTCCCTAAGCATGTTCACAATCTTCTTCTGTTCTTATTAGCTTGACTTATTTTGGGGTAGTTGGGGTACTTAAAGATTATAATGTAAAAGCAATATTTCACAACAAAGTAACTATTTAAGATTTAAATTGACAATCATACAGTGTAAGTGAGGGGATATATTCATATATTCGTGTTTTACATCATTCATTTGTTTTCAAATATATGAATAAATATATTAATATATCCACCCCACTTATCGATGCTATTGACGCCACTGCATCACACACCCATAAAATTATAAAATGTCGCCATTACATGGTGTCACCGTCACAGGATTAGCGAAAAAGTACCCTCAAAATGACAGGTGTGATATATTTTCCATTCCACGTTTTACAAGTCCATGTTTTACAAGTCCATATTTTTCAAGTCCATGTTTTACAAGTCCAGTCCAGTTCAGTCAGTAGCGTAGCCAGCCTGTCGATTTGTCCCGCTATGCTAATATTTTGGTGTTCACTGACTGTGAAAACAATAGATTTCTAAAGGCATGAATAATTATAATAACTCGAAATTTACATAGCGGGACAAAATCGTCAGGCTGGCTACGCCACTGAGTTCAGTTCATAGTTTAAAAGTTCTGTCCAATCCATAGTCCAGTCCACGTTTTACAACATTGCAAATTCAACATTATGATGTTGTATGTTGAGTATGATGAACAACGTACACCCGGTTGATTATCACCAAGTTGATTATCCTAGATGCGCACGAGATAACAATGCCCCAAAATGGTGGTTATATATATGTATATATAACCACCATTTGTATGTATGTGTATATATATATATATATATATATATATATATATATATATATATATATATATATATATATACCGTACGTCCTGTCCATATATATATATATATATATATATATATATATATATATATATATATATATATATATATATATATATATATATATATATATATATATATATGTATAAATATATGGACGTTGTTATGCTTTCTGCAAATTATTCAATTAAATAAGCTGTTCTGTGTAGTTTGTGGAAGAACATTCTACTTTTTCTTTAGTATTGTCGCTTTCTTTATCATCGAGAGGGCAATAAAGATATGCCTTCATCCTGATATAGTGGAGGTTATTGTGTTAATGAAGTTTAGCTAGAAAATGTTTTGTATGAAAATGTGTATTGACTATAAATAAATTTTCTAGCGTTACGAGAAAAAGATGGTGGATGAACATTTTACCAGAATGCGGTCAGAAATAATTTAAAAAGGCGAATTGTTTTTTGAAGGACAGATATAAGAAAGGGGGTTATTTTCTTCGTTATGTTAATCGTGTTTCATATAATTAGGTGATTTTCTTCTCATGCTTGATGCTCGCAATGCACTGTGGTAAAATGTACATGCTCCTATTTTTTTCGTTATGGTCAATTGTGGTGATTGTTGAAGAGACTCTCTAAGAGGGAAGAATATTTCTTAGTTTGTAAACAATTCGAAAAATTTTGGCGAAGATATGCTCTGTTTGCATTTGGTTGTCGAAATATCTGGCCTAAATTTTATGAATTTCGAGAAAGGATTGATGTCATTTTTTTCGCAGTTTTACCCTGTAACGCAAAAGGCCTTGAAGCAATTTTTTATAAATATGCTAGGCGCATTATGACTAAAAAGTTTGTCGTCGCTTTAATTTTTTTCTTCGGATGTTAGGAGAGGTGTGTAACATATATATTTGAATTAGTCAGTTGAAATAAAAGTTCTGAATTGATTCTCGTCAGAGTCGGCCTTTTAATCTTGAGTACCTTGTGGAATACTAACGTTCTTTCTATCGAACATTAAGAAACAATAGGCTAAATCCGATCATGGATGATAAACTATCGGATAAAATCACTTTTAACTGTCTGATGCATTCGTTCGTTGAATTTATTTTGAAAGCAATTTTGTTCTGCATGTCGTAAGCAACTCGCATGCGATTTTAACGACACATCTGAAAAAAAAATATTTTGAAAGCAAAAACCAGATTAGAAATATATCATTTGAAAATGTCTAATGTAAATTGTAAGAGATCTGCTACAGACTGATTATTTACAACAGCTAATGATTCAAAACAAGTTAAACCAAAAACTATACAAGTGGCCAAAACACGGACTCGACATACGAGCAGCCTAATTTGATACACTGAGAGGGATTTAAAAGCCGTCGCCATCTGTGCTATACTATAGAAAGCTATATCAACACCGCCAAAGAAGCTCCTATTATACTAAATGGTCAAAATTTGTTATTTTTAACGAAAGAATACAAATGCTATCTGACGTAATATACTGATAATCACAAGAGTAATAAATGGCCTTCGTCACTTAACTATTTTGTAAGAATGATAGAGGTTTTGCTCCCAAAATGCCAAAAATTTTAAAACTTTGAGCTCGTTGGATTCAATCGAGAAACAAGCGATGTTAATTAGAAGCACCCTGCGTGCGACCTTTACACTGTTTATCCATTTGAGATTATGTCTTTTATGAATAGTCAGAATAGATATTTCGTTGTTTACCTTGTAGTTTGGTTTTTCTTTGACAAGTGGTATAATAAAAAAAAGGCTTCGCCTCGTGAAGTATCGACAGGTCTCGGGTCCACAAAACATATTGTTTTCTTCGGTCGCAGTAAAAAATAATAAGTGTTAATAACTCGGGTTTTTCCTTTTGCGTCGTGAGTTTACGAAAATCGCGCGTGGGCAGCACGAAGTCTACGAACAAATCGAAATCGCTCTAGGATGGTTTCTCGCAGGGGTGATTACAGCGTTGAAACAGTATCAAAGCTAGTCAATTTATTAACTAGAGCTAAAAACTAAAATAGCTAAAACTAAGTTGATATGTAAATTACCTACATACAACAATATTTGCATACGAGCTACTATACATGCCTCATACGGTAGTGACTAACAATACTACATGTCCTTTACGTGCATATATGGTAATTTCAGTGGTTTAAGAATATAGCCACAACACCAACACCTAATACCACAAGAACTCCTGCACCAATTGCGTAAACATTTCCTGTGATGGTTTCCCACCATCCCTTAGTATCAGGCTGCTTTATTGATTCTTCTCTCGTGTTTGATTCTTTTCTACGTTGCTCTTCATCGTCTTTATCTTTCTTCTTTCTTTCCTCCAAATGATATCTCTCTTTTTGATCACGAACAGGTTGTAGATCTTTATCATCAAAAAGACTACGCAGTGCTTGTTTGCAAACTTCTCCTTTCTTCTTATCAATGATGGCGACCACAGTAGAAATGTACTCCAGAGTCATTTCAGTAGTCAACATCGCTGGCTCTTTGGACAGGGACAGTTTCCACTCTTGGAAGTCCTCTTCAGAGAGTAGTGTGCTTTTTTTATGCAGGTCACTCCGACCTCCATACCACCGTGTTTCGGTTTTATCCAAGATAGTATTCTTTGCACTCTCTGTCGATACTTGGTACTTGGGACCCACTTTAGCTCCGATAACTCCACTTAGATCCGCACCAACTGATCCATCTATTGAGTCATCGCCTTGTATCGATGATTCTAAACCTTCAGTGCACGTTTTTACCTCAACTGCTCCGCCAACATAAGCTGAAGTGACCACGAAATGACCGAAACGATTGAAAAAGTTCATAAAATCGTCCTTGCATTTTTCGTCGTCTGTGTATTGGTCAGGTAATTTTTCAACAGCAGAGACAAAATCATATGTGAAGGAGATCTCCTGGGACTCAAAATTTCCAATACGAATCTTAGCAATTCGATGTTCTTTTAATGAAATATTGGTGGTCCTCGTAGACTTGCTACTGCCATTTTCCTTCTGATTTGCACTCGCGCTGAGCTTGGGCGCCATTCTTAACATGCCCTGTACAAAATCCAGGCTTAAACCGAGATTTTTCAATCTGTTTTCCACGCACAATTTATCGGACTGAAAGTTCATTTGAAATTCCTGGGTATCATTGGCATTGATGATTTGAGCACAAGCCGGGACAACAAAACCATATTTCGTTCGTTTTACACTGTCAGCCGAAAACTTGAAAATATCAGCGGAGACGGTTTTGTCTAATAAGATATTATATCCTCGGCCAACCAGTTCAGCTATATAAGAAACAAAATCGATCTTTAGGGGATGTTTATACATGATCCACCCAGCGTATCCGAGTTTGAAAGAAGCGTAAAATGTTTTGGAGGCTTGGGAATAAATAAATTATATGATCCTGGCACTGGTGAAGTCATCCCGACAATATCATCTACTTGTTTTTTTCTCACAAAAACTTTTCTTAATACCTCAAAATCATCTCATGTTTCGTTGAATCTCGGGTAAGCGGGCTCATGTCAGGTAACAGCCTTATAAGACACGGTTTGTATGTTCCTATTTGGCAAACTCTGGATTCCAATGGCTTAATTGCCTTGGTTCAAAATTCTCCAATTTTACTTACAATAGAAATCCGTCAGACAGAACTGAATACTAACCCCCAATTATCGTTCTCGTTACGTTTCTGGCATTTTATCGATGGATTACACGTATGCCGAGATATGTGATGCTTGGGCCTAATAACCTTAATTGCACACGATTCTGTGTTTTGTTGCGCGTAGTTTTGTAGTTATAAATCTTAGTAATTCAGTCATTGATATTGTTCTGGTGCAGCAGATAACTTGCACATAATTATAGTTACATGATTTCCAGCTATGAGCACTTTATAATTAATAAAAGCATAATAATAATTGATGAAAACATAAAAAATGTTTAATGTGTCAATCAATACCTGAAGTATATGAATTACTTCCATTTTTAATTCCAAATTTCTGCTTCAGCATTTCGATACAATGGTCAGTAATCTCCCCGTCATAAAGACAATTTATTGCTGTCAATGTTACAGACTGTAATTTCTCTTCCTTTGACAAACCCATAGAGTTCATCCAGGTCCCCAGTTTTAAAACTTTCTCCTCTTGTGTTTTGTCGAGTTTGTTTTCTTTAACATATTCCATCACATAAATCGCCATTGGATTCAAACCTGAAATCAATTTTTGACCAATTAAAACCGTCGTTCTTAATGATAACATCACCTGAAACGTTACGATTGGGATTACTGGACAAGAGATGGCGTCGTACGCACGTTCAATCTAGAGAAAAGCGAGGCGCAGATAAAAAGCGGGCGAAAAGATGAAAAGTAGGGAAGAGATTCTACTTTTTCGCCGCGAATTTTTCCACAAACGAACCACATTACAGGGTTTTAGATATCAACAACAGTAATGTCGGTTCCGCACATGCGAATCTAAAACTTTAACATTAAATAATAGAAGTGAACTTTTCGTAAAATGTCGACATAAGGACAGATCCAGCGCAAAAAAGATATTTTTAAATTGTTAGCGCATACCAGCGCCGTATATTTATATATATTTAATTTAAAGCGGCGTTCAGTCGTATTATCATTGTGTGTAGTCAGACCACTGAGCAGTATACTATAATTCCTGGAGGACTTGCCCCTAATGTTTTGAAATACAAAAAGTGAAGCAAAAAACATGGCGGATTTTGGCCTTTGCTGACGCCAGATTGACGCCACTGGTTCTTATTTGCAATGGGAGTTACCACTGACCAACCGCAATCCAACGCATGAAAAAATGCGAGCACCCTACTGGATAAAAACAAGATTTTGTTTTTACGACATTTCTTGCTTTCGAACAAAAACATGGATTTTTTCCCTTTTTGCTGGTTCTTCTCAACTTCAACAATTATTCGCTCTATTTGGTCTGCTTGTTCCTACCGCAATTTACTTATCAAAGAGGAAATTTTTGGCTATTTGCACTCAGGTAAGACTTTTAAAAAGGCTTTCGTAATTTTGATCTCTGAACTATGAACGTCAAGTAAAAATATAGCTTCATAGTTCGACGGCTATGAAAGATCTAAAACAGAAATGATATATTTTACTAACATTTAATTTGTTTACCTACAACATGTTTCTATTAATATTTGTTTATCCATTATATCTTATACTGATTCACATCCATGTAGATTGTAGTTGAGCAGGGGTGGATCCAGCACTAGTGCACTAATTTGCACGACACAAGAAAACTGCTAAAAATAACCACTTTGTTTTATAATGCAAATTTGTGCATTAGTACTGGATCCACCCCTGTAGTTGAGCCAAAACTCAGGTCTAACCAGATCGATGTGTCTACCTAGCCCATTTTTTAGGAGATATATTAGATCAAAGTCTTTAAAGGATGCAATAGGAACAAAAATATAGATCTGAGGGAGCAATGTCTGAGAATAACTTGCCTAAATTAGCTCACACCTCCAATTGAGGCATCATCATGGCCTCAGTAGCTCAGTAGCTGACACTCAATTATCTGTACTTATTTTGTCAACAGGGTGTATTATAAATACAGTTAATCTCTGACATATCTCTTTTTTTTGCAGTTATAACATAGGGTTTGGTGGATCAAGTGGAGGCATGTTATGCAAAATTCTGGAGAATTGAATTGAGACAACCATACTATTATTCACATGAACTACACACATACCACTTATTAACCGAATTTGAGGTCCGTACTAGAAAAATATCAGATCGAGGTCTTGACAGTACGGACCGAGCGATAGCGAGGTCCATACATAAAAGACCGAGGTCTGATCTTCTTCCAGTACGGACCGAACGTATTCGGTTAATAAGGGATTTATTATATGGCATACAGTATTTAGTTTATTTATTTATACAATGCGCTGCAGCATTCTTGCCGGCTCTTTCGCCAGCCAGTCGCCAAGCAAGCACGGAAGTGGCTTTCGAAACTTTGTTTTTTACTCGTTAAATAAGAATGATACAGTAAACAAAACAAAAATCAAAAATGAATAAATATAATATTCACATGTACGAAATAAATGCTCTTCTTCGTCCATTCTCTGTCGATATTTTTCGTGTCAAAAATAAAAGTGCATGCTTGTTTTTGTTCAAAAATAATAGAGTCGGACCGTTACTACGGCAACGGTCTAATACTGGGGGCTTCCAGACCGGGAAAGAACCAATCAGCGCACGCCATTTAGTCACGAGACCGCGTGCCATATAAAATGTTTCATTAAAAGAAACTAAATATTAAAATTGATAAGGCTTTGTTTATTTCATTTCCAAAGAACCTTTCCAGTCATTGCAGGCTAATCTGGGATTATATAATCAATAATAATTACCATGGAAATCTTGGCCTACAAACATCCCTGGTTCTAATCTTCCTTAATACAGCCTCTGCATTATCATTTGCAAATATAGAAAAGCATATGACCTGCCCAGGGGCCATAATTACGGGCTTTATACATGCATGGAAAGAGCATGGCCTGTGCAGTCAGACAAAATTATAGTGCTGATCACTGCATGGTGTTGACTGCTGGTGTTATGTTATTGTCTAATCTCCCTTTAGTGTATGTGTTTTAACATCCTTGCGATGTATGTTATTTATGTTAGTGCGTCTTTTGGCGCTAAATAAAAGGCTTCTCGTTGTTGTCAATACGCGTATAAAACATGGTGTCAAATAGTGGGATTTTATTGTCATAACCGCTCGATAGTATATCAATTTTTTTTAAGAACAGCAGAATTATTTCTCAGTATATCACGCTCCGATTTGAACTGGACAAACTACATGGACAAACTCAGACCGCCTCCTCCATTTTCCTTCGAAGGAAATGTGTCTCACGGATGGAAAACGTGGCAAAAACACTTCCAGTTCTTTCTTACTGCCACTAAATCAGACTCAAAAAGTGATAAGATCAAGACATCCATTCTACTCACGTGCATCGGACCGAAAGGTAGAGACATTTACGAAACTTTCACATTTGAGAAAGACACTGAAAAACTCAAATTTAAGCCAGTCTTAGAGACCACCAACGCGGGAACTGCCCTGCATATGGTAAAAGATGCCAAATGCCAGAAGAGAAACCACTTTGAATTCTGCTGTCCGGAGAAAGCGTTACTAAAAAGGACTTTTCCCACCAATAGCTTTTCTCATGACGATGATGAATTCTACATCGATATGGTCACCAGTATCAATGAATCTCCTGCAAATCCTTTCCAGTCAACAACTTTGCCTGGTGAAACAAATGTATTCAAAGTTAGTGACACGAAACTGGACTGGTCCGTCACACTCGAAATGAATGGTGCTGATGTACCTTTGAAGATTGATACGGGTGCTCAGTGCAACGTTACTCCCAAGTGTCTACTTCACAAATTGTCACCCATAAACCCAAGCTCAAACCCGCTACAATAAAGCTTTCTGTCTACAATGACACTGTTTCAGACAAGTGCATTGGCAGACTGAAACACAAAGGTCGAACAGCAAATGTTCTCTTTATCGTTGTTGACTCAGATTCAGTTCCCATTCTCGGACTAAACACATCTGTCAAACTAAACCTGATCAAGCAAGTATACCAAGTTTCTGAGAATATCCCATCTGCAACCTCAATTCAAGACGAGTTTTCAGACTGTTTTGGCGAAATTAGCTGTTTACCTCGCGTTCATCACATAGAAATCAGGGATAACGTCAAACCTGTGATTGCCCTTGTAAGAAAGATACCTTTTGCACTCAAACATAAACTCAAGAAATAACTACAACGCATGGTCGACCTAGACATCATAGTGTCAAAACCAAACGTAGACCTCAGAGTCTGTCTTGATTCCAGACCTCTCAACAAGCCATTAAACGCCAACACCACCGGTTAGTGAATTCACTCCGCTAGCGAAGTATTTCCAAGCCGAGGTAGCCTCGTTAAGGAGGTCGTTGCAAATCTCCAAGGATGTGCCAACTCGCAAGATGACATTATAGCATGGGGGACGACAAAGGAGGAACACGACTCTCGCCTCAGAAAATGTACTCACACGAATTCGTGCCAGTGGGTTAAAACTCAGCCGACGCAAATATGTATTTGCCTCAACATCCCTCACATTCCTTGGCCACACGATGTCTCCGAAAGGCGTCAAGCGCGACCCAAGCAAAATTGAAGCCATTATCCAAATGCCAATTCCCGAATCCAAAGCCGACCTTCAACGCTTTATGGGTATGGTAAACTACGTCGGGAAGTTCATACATAACTTCACATAAATCACTGCGCCATTACGCCAGCTACTTGAGAAAGATGTCCTTTTCCATCTCCAACAACCGCAGTTGAATGCCATTAACAAGATAAAACGTCTCATTACACCTCCACCGTACCTAAAAGTTTTATGACCCAAACTTACCCACCCGGTTGAAGCCTGATGCAAGTCAAGATGGCCTCGGGGCCCTTCTTGAGCAGAACCATGGATCGGCAGATGGTGATCGATGGTTCCCAATTGCCTATGCGTCAAGAGCACTGTTGTCTTACGAGAAGAATTACGCTCAAATAGAAAAAGAAACTTTATCGATTGTTTTTGGAGTCGAACGGTTTCACGAGTATCTTTATGGACGCCACTTTACAGGTATCAACGACCATCAGCCCCTAAGATCCATCTTCAATAAGTCCATCAGCCAGTGTCCTCCTCGCATACAACGTTTCTTTATGAAGCTCCAAAAATACGACTTTGACCTCGAATACGCTCCCAGGAAGACCATGGTGGTCTCCCATGCCCTCAGTAGAGAATACCTCAAAAGTCATTCCTCTCCAGAAATAGAAGAATGAGATTTAATCCACCACGTCCACTCAGTCATCGACTCCTCACCAATCAGCACAGCAAGAATGACCCAACTCCAAAACGAGACCACTGCTGACCCAGTTCTTCAACAACTCAAGCAGTTTACTCTAACTGGTTGGCCACAAAAACCCCAACAAATTCCTCCAGCAGTCAAACCGTACTATAGCGTTCGAGAAGAGATTACCCACAACGAAGGTTTACTGCTAAAGGGCCAACGCATTATTATTCCTGCCTCACTACGCCCCACAATGGACAGCGTGCGCTTGCGTCGCGTGCAGACGCGGAGCTCTGAGCTCTGTATCAGGGACAATTTTGTACGCATTTGCCTCGAATTTTTGCTACTGTCATTGTGGAAACGGTTTGAT